TGGAATGAAAGTATTTCCTGAAAGACACGTATGATTTCTGCATAAGGTTCACTGACCTGATGGTCAAGGCATAATCGTTGACCCGACGACAAGCTTCCAAGATAGACTCCACGACCTTCGGACTGGGTACCATGTCCTCGTAGAACAAATCCGTGATTTTCTGTCGCAAATCCCACCCGTCGATTTCCTTATCGCTGAAATAATTGATGAACTTTTGCTCCAAACGTCCCACGGATTCCTCAGTCAAGTGCTCAGGTCGTACAGGTCACGTTAGTGCGGAAACAAGAAGCTTACCGTCGTAGTCTTGGAATACTCGATGACGACAACCATTAAAACGTAAAGCCCCTGGACGCTCGTTAACTCGCCTAGAACGGGTCTCCGTCTTCGTTCCCAAACGCAGCATTGTCTTAAATGGCAGTGAAAGGAATTTGAATTCCGTGAATGGAAAACGATTAAAAGTTGTGAATCGTTCCTATATAGCGGAATACGAGTAAAATATGCTAAGACTTTCAGTCATGGGCTCTTGAGGGAATGAAATTAGCATCAGGAAAATGTTTGTGAAAGTTTTCAGCCGTCGCTGTTAAATTATATTATCCTTTCAAAATGTCGGATTGATGTATCAGTTCAATGCGTTATAGTTTTGGGAGGAATATATTGACATGCAATATTTCTTACTTTTTCGGAATGACACTTTAACTGAACTGTACTTCTTTTATTTATTTTAATATTTTAATATAATATAATATGCATGTATTTTTCATGCATTACCTTGAATAATTTGTTTGTTTTACTTTTCATTTGGAAAATTTGGAGGCGAAATTTTTTATTGTGAAAGTTTTTTCCCACTAAATAATTCAATAACGTGCAAGCTTTTTCAAAGTCCCCAAAGTTTAATGTACGGAATTCTACCCACAATAAAATTGTGTCCAGTTGTAATAATACTAAAGGAATTCTATAAATTGTTGGTAAATTTAAGAAATTATTTAGTCTGCCGAATATAGCATTTTCTGTATTTTCAAATGTTCAGAACTGTTAGTGTAAAATTCGCGGTGGGACGATGAAAAACTTTTTTTACACCATTGAAAAATGTGTTGTAATGGAAGATTCGTTGTATCGGGATTTCACCACTTTAAACGGGAATAATAGTACTGTACATATGATGCTTTAAAAAATATTTTCATCAGCGGTTATCTCCAATCACAAACCCGATCGAACCGAACATAAAATTGAAGGACATGTAAACGGGAAGAGCAAATAAAACTGCACTAATATTTGCACCCGCCCGCAGCTGAGTTACAAACTATTGTTTTCCACCATCATATTGACTAATATTTGTAATTACCTTTATTATTGATCACGCATTTCCACTTCCGCTTCAGTCCTGTGCATTGGTTTTCAGATTGTCGGTTAACGAACGTCCTGGGGAATGGCTGATATTTATTGTGACTTTCTATCCGGAAATGTGATATTTTGGAATTCATACTCATGTAGCTCAGTACTGTATATTTTTTCATACATCGCGCATGTGCAAGTCGTTTCTTTGTCGTTGTTTCTTTTTTTAATTTGCAAAAACAATTTGAAGGTGAGAGGATGTTTTTTTTATCGGAGTTTACCGTCCCTGAAAATTTGATATGACCGTAATTTTTGCTGGAAGAAACGCTGTTGCTTCATCGCGGGAGCTTTTTTTTAATGGGGAAGCTTCTAAAATCTAAAGGAAAATTTTCACAGATTTTCATTTATCTAACTTTACACTGGAATTTTTTCTTAATTAAATTTACTCTCAAATATATTTTTTTCTGTATTGTATTTAAATAATTTTTCAGCTGGACAATTTGTTGTTCCCGATTCCCTGAAATTGTATGCTGAAGGTACCTTTATTATGTGTTTTATATACTTTTATTATTCTAGAAGTACAGTGAGACCCCCACATGCGGAAAACTCAACCTGTGGACAATTTGACATAGGGACACGTATTTTCCCATAAAAAATCAATAAAAAAGGCCCAACATGAGGACAGTGACTTGCCATAGGGATGTCTTGTGATAAAATGGCAAATACATTTCAGGACAAATTACGAGAAACAAATATTTCCCACCCTAAAATTGATGTAAGAAAAGCTCTTGGGAATTTCTCTCACCAATTTATCATCCATTGAGTTAATTTTTAAAATTACCTCCAGCATAGAGGGACTTTCTTCTCTCTTTTTCATTTGAATGTTATTTTTTACAGAGAATGCCAACATTTATTTGTACTGTACAGAGGTATCAGTATTAAATTCCCCAAATGCCCATATTGTTTTGAAATATATTGATTGCATCAGTTTAAATTGGGAGACAATTTTTATTTTCATAGAATTATGGTGAGTATTTTGTGCATGAAACACCAATTAAAAATTACATTATGTAAGTCTGAGGGAAAATGAGACTCAATGCGGGGACATTTTGACTTAGGGACACTCTAGATGCACCAATTATGTCCGCATCTCGGGGTCTCACTGTACCTGTGTGTATATTTCATTCACGGCACAGTCAAACAATTTGGAAGAGTATTTTCGAGACTCTTGAAACCCCTGTCGTCTCAGTGGTTTCGTCCGTCTCGTCCTTCAATATATCCTGAATCTTCGAGTCACAAGCCAACAAAATTGAGCCAGCAAGGAATTCAGAATTTTTTTTTTGCAAAATACAAAATCGCTAAGTTTCCACTCGCAGGCGACACAAATCAATCCGCACTGAATTCGGTTTCCACGGCGGCAACGGCGGCGGCACATCTGGCTTCGGGTCTGGTCTTCTCGTGGTGCTGGTTGTGGTCCTACGCGAAGTCGTTGTGGTCCTCGGTGTCGTCGTGGTTCTGCTGGTTGTCGAAAAGGTGGTCCTGCTTGTGGTGGAGGAATAAGTAGGCCTTTGTGTGGTCGTGGATGATGGCGACTGAGTGAATCGTCTTGTCGTTGTTGTTCTTTTTGTGGGTCGAATTGTGCTGGGGGGTCTTCGTGAAGTTACGTCTTTGTCAGCTGGGAAATAAGGAGCTTCGGTTGTTGTTTTCGGTGGTCGAAAAGATTGGGTTGAGAAGTCTTCGTAGTCTGTGTTTGGGCGATCTGTAGTGAAGTCCGAACCTTCCACTAAATCCGGGTAACTATATACAGGAATAACAATAAATACGGTATATGAATAACTTCAGCCACTGAATTTTTCGAAAGGCAATAAACATACTGTACATAAATAGATAAATATAACTAAAGCCTTAGCAAATTAATTGTGGACGAGAAATGCACTCCCAAAAAATGTTTTCTCGTCATAATAAGCGCACCTGAAAAATCAAGAAATAACAGCTTTGAATTTCGAGGCAAATTCCAACTTGAAGAATATTAGCATTAGCGGTTTTTTTATTTGTTTCCATTTCAAAGTCCTACACAAAAACCCTGACGACATAATAAAAAGTACAGTACTATATACAGTATAATTATCAAGTGGTCAATTGATTGACATGCGCATTTAGATACGAAATAAACAAATTTATTCTAACTGGAAAAGTGTTGCTACTGTTGAGCTTTTTTTGCAAGACTTGTTCTGTTTAACACCGTTTTTGAAAAAAATTGTGTTTCGTGGCTTATTTCTTATTCCGTAAGTTTGAAAAATATTGCTTGTGAGTTTTCAGTGCATTAAGGCGTAACAATCTTTTTTTACTGAAACTATTTTTCAGTGTTTCTAGAATTTTTTTGCGAGATGATTCGACCTTTTATGCATTAAAGAAAAGATAGAAATATGGCTATGGAATTTTAAAAGTTAGAAATTTCTTGAGGCAAAACGTTTTCCTACATTATTCGCGTCCGAACGATTTGATGTTGATTTTGTCGTCCACACACAAAATGATTGGTTGAAATACTCACCCATGAAATCGCTTCGGGGCCCGATTCAAGAATTTCCTCTTGATGATAATTGTTCCTTCTCGACGACTTCTGGAAGAAGCAGACCTTTTCTCACGAACTGAGTTATCTTTTGATCGCTTCCTCGGCAGCAAAGCATAAAGGAACTCGCTTTTTTCCGAAAGCTCGGGGGTATCCAACAAACTTTCCGGCTGGTAACACTGCGTTTGCACTTGCTTACGAAAGCACGTCGTGAACTTCGCCCACATGGCCTTCAAATTGGCCTAAAATGCAAAACGAGAACCGTCCAAGTGTTTAATATGGTCGTCAAAAAACTAGCACAAATATTTCTAAATTTTTAAATTGAGGCACTCGAATTGTATTCAGATACTGTACAGTGTAATAGTTTCGAAAGTAATATTCATGCTCTTCTCTGATTTTTTTTTCGCCCAAGAGTCCATTTGAAATTTTATCCAAAATAAATGACAAAAATGTGGACACCATCTAATGCTTACATTAAAAAGGGTTCAAAGATTTATAACTTGGCTTTCTGTGTTAATCATATATTTTTCATGAAGTGTGTCCGTGTGATTACTTTAAATTTTAGAGAAAGTCGAAGAACAGACGAATAATGATATATGACGAATTCTTAAATCGATTACAACTTCGATCTGATATTTGTTCCACCTCCAAAAATTGTGCAAAAAATATTCGTGGGGTTTTCTCGTGTTAGGTACTCTTTGTAAATTGCAAGATTGTGTAGACTCGCTCATATGAATTAATTACAGTAGTTTTCCTGACTTTTTTGTCACTTCAAGTTTTAAAATGTAAAATCAATCATAAATGTCCTGGATTTATTCAGTCGACACCAGCTTAGGTCGATATTGGCGGTGTGGAAAAAATTGGGCGGTATTTTTGCGGGGATTTTTCACGCCTCTGGTTTTTGAGGTGATAAACAATGTTTTGAATATGATAAAATTATCTTTGAGAGACGACAATTCCGCAGTTTACAATTTCAACCGTTACCCGAACGATCGCAGAATTGTTCTCCCTTCCTTTTGCACGTGATTGCTGAAATTCTCTAATTTTTTAAAATTGTTTTCGTAGTGGGTGAACCACTCTGGAAAATAATATTCGAAGTAATTTGATACGCGTAAAATTCGAAGATACGAGACCTGTTTTCTTTGCTCACTGCGTTCCACAATATTCTCCAGTGCTGCATTTTCTAGACAGTAGTCCACGAGTTCTGCCAAAATCGTGTGGTTGCCACGTGAACCTTCCGACGAGTAAATGAGGGCCTTGAGGGCATCTGAACTCAGCCCAATGCTGACAGAGTCGAAGACCCCGAAATTGGCCAGCAAACAAAGCTGGAAATCACCCCAGTCTCCAGTTTCCAGAGGACGCAAGAAAATCTTCTCCAGCTTTGACGGGTATTGGGAAGTCGGCACAGGACGAGTCGCCCTCGATCTTTTGTCAAGCATAATTTGGAAAATTAAATTAATTCATCGATACCGTTGAAAAATTGGCGAGTTTATTCTCACACTGGACTATAGAAGTGATACTGATGGTTCATATGTGTAATTTAAAGTTAGTGCAGTAAAATCTCGTTATTACAACGAATTCCTCGGGACCTGATGAAAAATTCGTTGTATCGAGATTCATGGTTTTCAACACTTTCCTAAACTTGAGATTTTTTTTTCGAAATGGGCAAGAAATACTTTCAAGTGCTTCCAAAACTGATAGTTTTAAACCTATCATAATTATTATTCATGTCTGATGAAACGAAGAGAAAGTTTTTTAATTAATATGTACTAGATTAATTATATTAAAATTAATGCTTTAATTAGAAAAAAATAAGATTCGTAATAAATAATACCGTATTCACTCGATTACGAGTACGTGCACCGTTTATCTTCAAATTTGAGAGAATCAAAAGGGGGTATACATATTTTTCAAAAAACATTTTGCAGTCTAGGTATGCATTATACAGTACTTTATTCTGATGGGAAAATGTTTGACCAATTAAGAACCCCTCATTAATTAATGAGAACTATTTAAAATTACAGTAGTTGAATTCATGTTCGATGAATGTCTAAATTAAAGCTTTGGCGATCTTATTTTTGGAACATTGTCATTTTAGGGTCACTGAAAATGAATTGCTTGTTTCCCTCGGAGAAACAAATTTCTCAAACATTTTTTTGATAACTCAAGTAAATAGCTTAATCGTAATAAATGAATAAATGCAGATGATGAATCAATTTTTATAAAATAAAATAAAGAATGTTATATTCCCCCCGGGGGTTGACTCACTTGGGGTAGGTGTTCCCAGGGCTGCACAGGGTCTCCCAGCAAACCCCGGCGCCCCTGGAAATTTGTTGGTCGAGCAGCGAATTTCTTGGCACTGTCACACCGAAGCAATCACTGAGAATGCCCTCGTACGTTCTCACGACCTGACCGAATAATCCAGTCGGCAAAATCGCGAGCAGCAACAGCACAAAGACTGCCATTTTTTTTTACTCCACAGCCTGGGAATGGGTCTGACGACTGACTGACTGACGAACTGACGAACTGTGTGACACTGCTGGGATGATGATGAGTCCTTGTTGATTCAACGGGATTTTTTCCAGGAAGATCCTTGACCATAGGGCCAAAGGCAGACTCAGCTGATTTCCATCAAGGATTTTTTTTAATGGTTATTATCGTTTTTAATCAGGTTCATCCATCAATGACACCGCCTTTTGGCTAATGAACAGGGTGGAATTCACTCAACATCCGGATTTTTTTTTTCTTTCAAAAGCTGCTACAAAAAAATGTAAATGCAGACAGCGTCTGATTCGAATTAAATATACGTATACTCACCTGTTGAGTGTGCAAAGGCATGCGATCAACTGGAAAACCAGAGAAATAGCCTTCCCTATCATTCACGGTAGCATTTTTGTGTTTCGCAAGGAATAATCGCTGCAAAATTATTCCTCGTTTGCGCAACTCCATGAGGGAAATGCGCGAACGTGACGCGAGTGCAAAGCGCTGTTAACGACACCTGTAATCTTCTTCGCAGAACAATATAATCTTGTAAACCTTGATTGATAGGTGTCGCTGTAGGTCTAGCCATTCCCCCACGTTCCACAGAAATCTTCCAATAAAAGCAATCCTGTAAACAATCTCAATTATAAATATAGTATAGACGAAGTAGTTGATCTGCAGTTGAGGATTCTTCGATGATTTTAAAATATCCTGGGAATAATTCCTTCTTTCTCAAATAAAAAGCGTTTATATCTAGTACTGTACAGTAAATATATTGTGTATTTAAAACATGTGTACAGTATTCTCATTAGGTTATCCATTTTTTCTTTCTTTTTAAACGTTCGTCGATGAAGTAATTTTTGTGGAATTATTTTTTTAGACATAAAAATAAAAATAAACTAAGTTTTGCTGCATGGAATTGAATCTTGCGTTACACGTGGATTAATTTAAAGTGTAGTTGGTTAGATGTATCGGAATGAGAATAAAAATTTACCTCATCCAACGTGGAACATTAATTTTGAATTATGCACCTCTGCTGTTCTGTTTATTATGACATGCAGTCGATCCCCATCACACTGGAAGATTCCTGGACCTTTCGGGGTTTGGAGTTATTTTATTTGATTGTCAACAGGTGGGAGATGTTATCACATTTGGGGGCAGTCAGTGGAACAAAACCAACTGGTTCTTTTCTGGCTGGTTTCCAGAGAAGCCGTTGAAAAGATACTGTGCTCATCTCCCACCCAGTGTGAATTCATGAAGAATCCAAGTGTTCCCAATCTGTACGTAGAAAAGAGAGTTTTTATTTCCTGGGTTGGTACTTGCAAGTTGTAATTAACAGGAAACATGCTTGGATAAAATGTAAGAGTTTTTTTGACGCTGCACATTTTGAAATATTTTTTTTTTAATTGAAGCCACGTTTACAGAAGTTATTTTCAACTTTGATTTCAGATCGACCTCTTTAATTATTGGGTATTGCAAGATTCAGTGCAGCAACCAAGAATCCCCTCTTCATAGTATAATTTTGTTGAATGAATGGGTTGATTATAGTATAGGTATTATCCTGAATTTAAAATTTTGAATTCCTTTTTTCTATGAAATTTAGTTGCAGCCATGTGGTCATAAGGCTATTGTTATGTGAGAAGGTTTGCTTACAAAGCATTTTACTGAAAGGGCTATTTCTGAGTGATAGTGCTAATACTGCTCAATATACAGTAAAATTTTGTTACAACAAATACCATTAAAACAAATTTTTCTTTATAACAAACTTTTTCAAAGTCCTCCTGGCAGAAATCCTATAGTGTATAGGGTACATGTTATAAAAATCTCATGGTTGGGGGAAAAAGAAAAAAAACCAACAAAACTCATGTCAAGGAGGGTTTGTATGCTTGAGAAATCCTGTGCTGATGCATAGAAATTGTAAGCGTTTTTTGGAACATCCACCCCCAAAAATTCCTTAGAAAAACTTAATCAACAGAAAGTGCTGGTGTTGACCAGTTATTCAGAATAAATGTTTGTGCTTAACATCTAAACTTCTTTTTGACAATTTTAGTTTTTTAAATGGCAAAAACAGCTGAGAAGGTTACAAATGGATGATGTTAAATTTATGCAGGTTTAATTTTTAGAGAATCTTCCAATCAGTCTAAAAATTTCAAAATCTCATTAGAGAAATTATTTTTCATGGCAAACTTTTTCTGGAGTCCTCCTGAGTTTGTTGTGAAGAGATTTCACAGTACTGTAATATGAAGGGGCCGATCATCCCGCGCTCATTTTGTCTTACCAGGTTGCGTTCATGCTCCTTGGGGTATCCCCATTCCTGCAACTTCCCCGCTCGGCGTGGGGAGTCCCATGTGCAGTGTGGCTCTTGCCGGCGTGAGACACGGACGAAGAAGAGACGATAGATGCGAGGAGCGTGAACCATGTGAGTGAGGAGGCTTTCACTGTACAGCAGTATTGAGAGATGGTAGCCCCACAGCTTCCGCGTTGCTGTGTAATAGATGCCTCGCGGACAAAAGGCTTCCCTTTCCCATGTTTCTTCACGTTTTTTTCGGTATCCGTGTCGTAGTGATGCCATGCATGCTGTTTTCCCCTGTGGTTACAATAACTGCCTGCATATGCTGATGCGATGTCCGTCATCATCAGTGCTGTGTAATTTGCTTCCCGTTCGCTGTTCCGTATTTCAAAGTAGGATTCTTTGCTTGCGTGGGCTTCTCGCCGGAATGGTGGTTATAAACGAATGCATAAGTGAATATGCTATACTTGAGTGAATATCAATACAAATATACAATAATGGATATTTTTACCGAAGCAAAAACTACTGTATTGCTACTTCCTTGTGCCGTCTTGATGTGAAGTGACGTGGAAACTAGCTCGTGAATATCCTCAGTATCAACAGATTCGTTTGGAAATACTTACTTTTTATGGATGTTTTACCGATCTAAAATTGTGCTTAACAGATTAACCTTGAAATCGTAATGCAAATATGAGCTGATCCGCAGATTTTCGACTATGACTCAAATGAATCAAATATTTTCAACTGTAGTTCGTCTTCGTAGAGTATTTTATGTAAATAATATCCTTCTGTGCGACTTGATGCACTTTTCGGTTTATCCTGATGTAAATATTCAAAAATCACTAGACATGCGTACGTGATGTGTAAGATCTTCCTGTGAATTTTTGTTCGTTTCTGCGAGGCTGAAAAGTTTCGGAGTCATAGGTGTGTTTATTTGAACTTCGGATTACCTGGCATACTGTACTGACACGCTTTTTTGCACAAGATTTGCGAGTGAATTTTTCTTTCCATTTCGAGGGCTTGAAAAACTCAAGTTTTCCTAGAATCAAAAATTTATTAATGCCTAATATTAGCTGTACTGTACTTTATTTGAAATTAGGGATTGAAGGACTTTCTCGAGTGATTTCTGCGACTTCACTTGGANATGAAGGGGCCGATCATCCCGCGCTCATTTTGTCTTACCAGGTTGCGTTCATGCTCCTTGGGGTATCCCCATTCCTGCAACTTCCCCGCTCGGCGTGGGGAGTCCCATGTGCAGTGTGGCTCTTGCCGGCGTGAGACACGGACGAAGAAGGGACGATAGATGCGAGGAGCGTGAACCATGTGAGTGAGGAGGCTTTCACTGTACAGCAGTATTGAGAGATGGTAGCCCCACAGCTTCCGCGTTGCTGTGTAATAGATGCCTCGCGGACAAAAGGCTTCCCTTTCCCATGTTTCTTCACGTTTTTTTCGGTATCCGTGTCGTAGTGATGCCATGCATGCTGTTTTCCCCTGTGGTTACAATAACTGCCTGCATATGCTGATGCGATGTCCGTCATCATCAGTGCTGTGTAATTTGCTTCCCGTTCGCTGTTCCGTATTTCAAAGTAGGATTCTTTGCTTGCGTGGGCTTCTCGCCGGAATGGTGGTTATAAACGAATGCATTAGTGAATATGCTATACTTGAGTGAATATCAATACAAATATACAATGATGGATATTTTTACCGAAGCAAAAACTACTGTACTGTATAGCTACTTCCTCGTGCCGTCTTGATGTGAAGTGACGTGGAAACTAGCTCGTGAATATCCTCAGTATCAACAGACTCTTTTTGAAATACTTATTTTTTATAGATGTTTTACCGATCTAAAATTGTGCTCAACAGATTAGCCTTGAAATCGTAATGCAAATTTGAGTTGATCCGCAGATTTTCGACTATGACTCAAATGAATCAAATATTTTCAACTGTAGTTCGTCTTCGTAGAGTATTTTATGTAAATATCCTAACGTGCGTCTTGATGCACTTTTCGGTTTATCCTGATGTAAATATTCAAAAATCACTAGACATGCGTACGTGATGTGTAAGATCTTTTTGTGAATTTTTGTTCGTTTCTGCGAGGCTGAAAAGTTTCGGAGTCATAGGTGTGTTTATTTGAACTTCGGATTACCTGGCATACTGTACTGACACGCTTTTTTGCACAAGATTTGCGAGTGAATTTTTCTTTCCATTTCGAGGGCTTGAAAAACTCAAGTTTTCCTGGAATCAAAAATTTATTAATGCTTAATATTAGCTGTACTGTACTTTATTTGAAATTAGGGATTGAAGGACTTTCTCGAGTGATTTCTGCGACTTCACTTGGATGTAGTGCAAATATGATGTGAAGATAAGGTAAATAGATATTCATATTTTCAATGGAGACTGCCTGTCAGTGTAAACTGAAAAATAAAATGCGTTTCCAATCCGGTGTAACTCGTGACTCCATCTCACTCGTCGTCGCTGTAGACCGCAATGTAGTAAATTTTTTCCATATCGGATGTGTATCGGAATCCCGAGCGAGTTCTTTGAATGCAGGTTCACAGCAAGTCCATGACGTGACGAGAATTGTGAGAATGTTCTTATGCATCTTTCGGATATTTCCTCCGTGTTATTTGGACGGAAACCACATTTATTTTACAATTTTCTGTGGGAAACACCGGGGTTCTAGTTCAACCTTCGACTGGGTTTCTACGAAGTGCTAAAATTAACGTTCGACCAGGTGCGTTCACTTCGCTTCCCCGTGGAGTCGAATTCTTGTAAAGATTACAAACGATGAACTCTGGGTTTTCTCTCGGATGTTTCGTTGGTTTTGATACAGAGAAAACTAAAACAAAAAAAGGATGGAAGGCTGTATTTTTTCCGACGTTTGTACATGTTGAAATGAGGTCTTGTTTGATTTTTAAAGCATTTTTCTCGCTTTTAGTTACGGTTCAATTTTTGTGGTTTTTCATTCGCCTGTGTAATTTCAACTATCGGAGATCGACTGTCAACGTAGAAGGAAGGATTTATCATGTTATTGAAGTCAGTTCTTCAGTTGAATTTCGTAATATTTTAATTGAATAGGCAATATTTTGGCTGAAAATCGCCCTTCTCGATGTGAAGTGATCATTGTTGAGTTTTTGAAATCTGACGTTTCGTAACAATTTTGCTTTTATCGTCGAGAAAATTATTTTTGACGAATTTAATTAGATTTCTGGAGCGTGGAGCCACTCTTTTGCGCACGGACTGAACCCATGTGTTTAAAGGGTACCAAAATGGTTGATCTTTTCATAATGCGGTAGAAAGGGTAGACCAAACATTTGTGTGCTTATCCTTCACGACGCTGGAGAATTCTTCCGTTTTTTTGGCATCCCAAACTTGTTTTTGCAAGATTGATATCTTGCAAGTGGTTCCCCTTTCCAACGACCTCGGGTTTGCTGACTAAAAAAAACTTTTTGAACTTCATGAAAACGAGGTAGTAGCATGACTTGGGGATTTTTTTTCGTATGTGTTTTTATTTCCTCTTTCATTCTTCTGGTGGTTTTTCTTATTCTCGATGTCCTCCAAAAAGCCGATGTCCTATTTTTTGAATTTTGGTGAATTTTCGCGTATTTGTTCATTTTGAAGAAACGGAAGATCGTAGTTTTATATTCCGGAGTGCTGTTGTAGTGTGTGACCAACGTGAAAGATAATGATTTTTCAGCGCATGACTCTTCTTCTGAAGTGAAAAAAAGATTTAGCATTTTAAATTTTAAAGACAAAAAATTATATTTTTACAGTAGAATCTTTTAATAACGAATCAATGCTTACAACTGCTTTTTTTGCATGTTTTTGTTTCTGTCCGATAGCCATAATGTAATTTTTATTTCGTTTTGACGAATTTGTGTTCATCACAAGGTCCCAAACGCTTTGCATGTTGTAATGAGATTCTACTGTGTATAAAACGAGTTGGGCAAGGTTGCATTATAATGCTGCACTTTCATTGTCTTCAATCTTATACTTCCTGGATTGCTTCACTTCCACGGGTTAGTCACAAGTCACTGGTAAAGTAATTTTATTGTCATACTTCACTATTCAGACTAGATTCAATGGTCAGTTTAATTTATATAATTTTGCTAAAACATAGTTTTCTAAGTCCCTAGACAAAATGATTTGAGAATCTTGGTTAAACTCATAATTTCCAAGTAAAAAGTGTGGGTTTGCTCAGTGAAGTTGTCATGCTTGCTTAGTTGTGTTGAAGTAAATGAGGTCACTTATGTTAGATTGGGTTGATTGAGCAGTGGTTTGGTTAATGTGTTTCTGTTTATATTAGGTGAACCTTAATAAGTAAAACCTCCCTCAGTTGAAATTTTTTAAATCCCTGCTGTGTTAATTTCCCTTGGAAGCAATGTATCCAAAACCACTCCTAACTCAAAGGCTTTTTCTCTTGAACCTCCCCAAGTCAAATTTTCTGAATCCTTTTGGCTACCACATATTTTCTTGACAAAGCTGGAAAGAGAAAATCAACAAAAATCAAATTTGATGTGTTTTGCAAGGAAGTGAAAGGCTAATTGGGTAAATGAACCCTTGCATCCAAGTTCAGCATCTTGTCAACTCATTTAAGATGCAATTAAGGCCCAGAATATTGCAAAATACAATTTCTGGCATTTCTTCCATCTTTTCCACAACAAAAATGCTTGTTTCCTTAATGAAAAATCTCCACGACTCTAAACCTATCTAATTCAAATTTCAAAGGACCAGCAAAAAAACTCACATATTGCTTTTTTTTTGCTGTTTCATTGAAATTCGACTTGGAGAGTTTCAACTTGTACAATGCAATACTGTACTTTACTTACATATTGCACCCTTGCCTCATTGTTTGGTCTTTTGTAGCGGTTGTGAAATGCTAGTCCACAGTCTATCGCATACTGTAACAGCACCAGTTCTTTTTCTACGACCTGGTTAAAGGCTTTAGTCGTAGTTCTGTTTTCTCGTAGAACACAGGAAGTCTGTTTTGGAGATAAGGTTATATCGAAAGTTGGTTTGCTCACACATGCGTTGCCTGAAGTTCTCTGGTGTCATATCTTTTTAGAGATAGCGCTTCTCGGTTTGAAGTTTTTGATTCATGCCAGAATTCGTATGAGCTGTTTGTCTGGCTGTTGCTCTAGTGAAAGAAAAAGTTGTGATTCAAATTTTCAACCTTCTTGGAAGTCGATGCCCCCCTTTTTTGTCCTTCACGTGGGGGCCGACAGAGTGAAAGTGGATTTTCGTTCTACTCTTCGTCATTGAATTTCTAGAATTCTACTGGGTTTCCATTCTTCAAGCGTTTTTCATGGCAATTATCTCTGAATGTGTTTCGAAATTGATGCACTGTTCCATATTCTTTTGTGTACAGTAATTTCAAGTTCGCGATTGTTCGCAGGAAGCTTTCATCAAACTATTCCAAATTATATTCTCGAAAACGGAAAAAATAGTTTTTGCTCGAACGCAAAAAGTATAAACAGTGAAAGCAGTATCATCGATGTGTTTGACTTGATTAGTTAATTTTAATGCGACGAACTCTGTTGAAGTACTGTACTTGGATGAATCACTTCATTATCATAAAATTCAGAAGGCATTTGGAGAAACTTTCTACCGTTATTTTGAATTTATTTCAGAAATAATTATTCTTATTTTAAATGTGTATCCGCGTCAAATTTGATGCTTTTTGTTTCCACTCTTTTCTCTATTTTTGATGAATAGTGATGAAAATTCAAGTCGTGTCAATTTCAAACTTTGTTTCGTATTCATTCTTCCGCGATATTTGCCGAAGGATGGTAAATGAGAACATTTTTTCAAATATTCCCAATTTTTTCGTTTCCTTTCAAAACAGGAAATTTCGGCACAGCATTTCGATTAAAATAGGATTGAATATTCGCAACTTCCATCCGAAGAAAATTCAGGAGCATAAGTTCCTCGAAATGTTCTTCCAGCTTAAATTCTTGATCGGTTTGACTGGAACGTGTTTTTTTTCTGGAAGATTTATCGCGGTGGAATTTGTGAAGTTTTGAATGACATTGTTTCATGCATGTTCTGAAAATGTTTTCCTCAAGGTGCCATAAAAAATAGTAACTGTGTGGCCAAGATGCGGTGGAAATATTGTCCGCTGTTTGTTTTCTTGACCATGACTGGTGATATAAGTGCGCAAAATGATGGTGGTACTCATGACGCGTCATCGGGGCTCATGGTGCAAAAATGTTGTCCGGAAGGTCAAGTGTCATTTTTTGATAGTTCTACCGGAAATAACCTCGTTTGTGTGCCTCGGAATCCTGACCTGGGACCGGACTACGATTGGACCGGGAATTTCACTACTTTCGATGGGGATAAAATGGTGATTGCTGACAAGAAACCCAACTTCACTGCTACTTTCGGGGTGCCGAAATGCGACGAATTTCGGTGAGGAATGCGGAATTTTATTTTATTCTTTGAACTTAGTTCGTAAATATATCTCGATCTTCCTTGACGAATTTCTTTTTGAATTCTACGAAGACCTTCTAAACATTTCTGTGAGTGATTTGAGAGCAGTAATTGGAATTGGATGAAACATTTCACCAATTTTCAAAATTCGTACAGTTGCTACATCGATGAAAAAGAAAAATATTGCAAATCACGATGGCGTGGTTCCTTCAAGAAAATAGTCCACTAGTATTCTGGGTTGTTTCACAATCGCACAGGAATATTTTGAAGGGACATTCTGCTTAAATGCTCAAAAGTAAATAATTATCGCAGCGATAATGCCAATAAAATGTGCGAAAATAACGTGTACCTTGACAACTATGGGTCTGGTTTCACCAGCTCAAGTTTTTATTTTATTTGTTTTTTTACTTGACCTATTGGTCTTGTCTGAGAGTCGAAGTGCTCAGAAAAATGTAATTTAAATCTGCTGGCATCTTTATGAATTTATTTTAAGCTTTGATTAAAATCATCACATTTTTTCGAGATGAGCAAGAGAGATAATTCTTTTTGGGATTTATTCATGGGGATCCAAAATGCACTTGGAAAAATTGCCCGTAATTTATTTTAAATTACAATATTCTCGTTAAATCCGCAGTTATCGTCTCCAAAAAGACGAATTATTCAATTAAAATTAATGTACCAATTTTGCCTTAGGGTGCTTTCGCCTGAGAGGAATGCCAGTGAAAACTTTGCCGTGTTTGTGGACGGGAACTTTGCCGTTGAGTCTGGTCATTATATAAACCCTGGAAGCTATTGTGTGGACCGGTTTGTGGACGACAAGGAAAATTTGACTATTACGCATCGTGGTGCGATCATTTGCGGGCCGGCGAAATGGTTACCCCCTGCTGGGGTTGCCTCCAGAATTGATTTGCTGACTGGACACGTGAAGTACCCTAAGTGTTGTGCGAGAAATCAAGTTAGTGTCATTCATTTGCAAAATTGTGTTTTTTTTTTGTGGCGCATGGAGAGGAACAGACTTCATGTCACGACTTATCCCGCGGATTATAGGGAGGAGGATTGGAAAGTTTAGTCGATATACAGCGAGACCCCGAATTTCTAGGAAATTTAAAGAAAAAAAATTATTCTTGAAAAGTTTGATATTGCCTGAATATATTTAGCTATTTATATTCACTAAAGTTCGAAATAAATCTAGTTTTAAATTTTCGCTAATTAAGGATCTAAAACGGGCTGATTTTGTGCTTCTTTTCTGGAGGTTTTTATGGTCATTTGTGCACAGTATAGCAAGATATCTGCTTGTTCTTCGCTTTTTTTGGGCTCCTTTTCATGTCAAAAGGGCAAATTGTCAGTGGTTTTCTTCAAGTTTTTTAAATTGACGACGAGTTGGTGAAACTAGCATTTTTCATGGTGGAGAGAAAGAAAGAATTACCGAAAATTACAGCCAGACCCTGAGATGCGGACGTAATTGGTGCATCAAGAGTGTCCCCAAGTTGAAATGTCCCTAAGTCGAGTCTTGTTTTCCCGTAGGCTTACATTATATAATTTTTAATTGGTGTTTTGTAGAAGAAATATTCTTCAGAATTCCCTGAAAAAATTGTTTGCCACTTGAATTTGAATTAGTGAATACATTTTCAACTCAATAAGAACATTTGGAGCATTGAATAGTGTATCTCTGTACTGTACACTGAAATTTTGGCATCTACAAAAATAACATTCAAGTGAAAAAAGTAGAAGTCCCTCTATGCTGGAGGTAATTTTTTTAAATTAGCTAAATGGATGGTAATTTGGTGAGAGAAATGCCCAAGAACTTTTCTTACATCAATTTTAGGGTTGGAAATATCTGCTCATTGTAATTTGGCCTGAAATGTATTTGCAATTTTACCACAAAATGTCCCTATGTTGAGTCAGTGTCCTCATGTTGAGCCTTATTTATTGATTTTTCTGGGAAAATAAGTGTCCCTATGTCAAATTGTCCGCAGTTTGAGGCGTACGCATGTGGGGGTCTCACTGTATTGCCCATTTCTAACAAAATTTCAGAATGTGCTAGAAACCACAAATCTCATTATACAGCACATTTTCTGTTATTTTTTTCACCAAGTCCCTGGGAGTTTGTTGCAATGAGATTTTACTGTAACACGATTATTTCAACATATGCTCCCGCGGGCTTTCTGTCAGCACTCAAGAAAAAGTTTGTCAAACTGATGAAGTTTTTTTAATGAGATCTTACTGCATATGCAGATGACAGACACTTGACATCCAGCCAGGTTATCAAGGAACATTTCAAAAATACTGGATGTCTGCACAGATTAAAATTAAAGGAGATGAAAATATTTTAAATTCATCTTCAGTTCTGCATCTCTGTGTATATACCTCAGATGAGATAACTGTAGAGTCACGCTGACGCTTAGGTCTGCGGAGTCGTCGGAGCGTTTACGTACGTATGTTTTTGTAGGCTCCCCCAATTGTTCCCAATAACTGTGGAAGGGCTGGTAAAGCGCTTTTGATTTTTTAATATGTATACTGTACCGCAACAGAATATAAGATTTGTCGAGCTTCTGATTAGCATAACGCATGAGGGTACATCAACAAAACGCGAGGTCAGCCACAGAGTCTTGGTGATGCTTATCTCTTCTCTTCATTTTCTCGGAAAAAATATATATATGAAAGACAGATATAGAGAGAAGAATAAAAAAGCATGGGGTTCGCAAGACAGCCAAATGACTGGTGTCATGTAGCTGCTCTGTGCCATTAGCTCGGGTTACAAGGTTTTCACTTGTGCAAATGGATGCTGTTGAGAGAGAGGAAGACGAAGCTCCCATTTTTGGAGGTTTTTCTCCTCCTTTTTTTTTTTTTAACTCACTTCCTTTTTAACGGAACAGAAGTAACTGTCATAGTACGAACCTAAGTAGTACTACCCCAAGCCTCCCCCTTAGTTCCAACATTTCCTACCAATAAAGCTTGGGAGCGCTGGTATTTCTTATCTAGAACAGCTATCAATTTGAAACCAATTTTATCTTACACGTTCTGGGATCTCGCTAATTTCAAAAAAAAAATTAAAATTAATAAAAAAAATATTTCTTGTACAGTATCTTGCTTTTGTTCAGCTTTTTTGTGTGCTTTTGTTCGGTAAAAATTGTATGATGAAGTTTTTGTTTCAGCGTGGAACAAACTAAATGTTCTTCAATGAAACATTTGAGAGAT